CTCCTGCTCCCTCTCCTCTTTGCTGTGCTGCTTCTATAATTCAAATTCTGTCATGCTTGTTCCAGACTGCTGGCTCCAGCCCCCACCACCACCACCGCCTGCCTCCCTTCCTCCATCCCCCTCCTCTTTCTCTCCTAGAGAAGAAAAAGCGTTGGAGAAAAAGAGTTCTTTGAGGGACAAAGCTGACAGAACCTCACACAGACAAATACAGCAGCACCAACTAAACGGTAAATGTGGAAAAAGGACGTGCAAGCTGTGCACCACCATCTCTCTCTCTCTCCGTCTCTCTCTCATTAGTCCAATTTTTTGCATCTTTCTTCATCCCTGATTTAAGTGGAGGAGAAGATTGCATTCCTGGATCGCTTTAATTACCCACTTAAAAAGGTACTCTACCAGTTTAAAGTGGCGCTTCCGTGCAGTCACAGAGACAGGGATCAATTAGGAATGATCAAACACATCCCACACTTCCCACAATGCAGCAGGGGGTGTTAACACTAACTTATCATCTCTGGATATGTATTAGATGGATGTCGTAGATGAGCTGCTTTAGCTTAGCTATGACCTGGACTTCTTTGCACATATTCTTAATGTTTGCAGGTTTATTTAGGGCTCTAGCATTAAAACCCAAATTATGATCAAATCTGCATGAATTAGTCTGCATGTAGGGGGCAGTAACGAGCTCCTCCACACATGAAAAGCTCGAGGATCCAACTCCCAACCTTTCGGGTTATAGCAGCCCAACTTCCCCTGCTCTTTATTCATTCTACTGGATGAACGGGAATTCATAATTTTTTGTTTAAATGGATTTGCTCCTTTCTTGCTCTATAGATTATAGGTATTAAAGTTTATTACTCAGGTATAAATATAAATCCTACTATTTAAAAACACTTCTATAGCAGTTACAGTCTCAACACAAGCTTTCTACTCAAGTAAAAGTGAAATTTTTAAAACTAATTAAAGTATAAAAGTAAAAGTAAGGTAGGTACAAATGTTAAGGACAGAAGATTTTAAAGGAACATTTTTCTACAATTCTGGATTATAATTTCCTTATACTTAAGTTTCCTCGTTTTATTACTAATGCTAACAGTGTCAAATTTAACTTTACATAATATTGGAAAACTATTTATTTTGGTATGCGGTCAGCAACAAGTTGGGGCAGCACCAACCAAGAAATTTTCTGGATGAAACAAATTATTTCGATGTTGTGTCTTTTTAAATACCAACAGATCATAACGAAAATTAGCAAAAAAGACATAAAACTAACAAGTCTATTCTTAAAATATAAGGAGTAGAAAGTAGAGACAATGCAAAACATGTAAGGGGTAGAAGTTAACAAGTTGTCTAAAACATAATTACTCCAGGAAAGTATAGATAGCCAAAATTTCTACTTAAGTAAGGTAACAAAGTATTTGTACTTTGATTCTTAACACCTCTGTTCATAACATTAGATAATGGGTGTGTCACACTGGCTTCAAAGTGAATCCAGCTTTTGTGATAGACCCCAAACCGAGTTCCTTTTGCTGAGGTAAAGGTTGGTAAATGTGTGGAATCTGAGGAAAGTCAGACCTCTGTCACACTGATATACATCAATATACCATCAACATAAGCTACATTTAGTAAGCCTTAAGCTTTAGCATCTCAGCCTCTAAAGATCCACTTAGAAATTCAATTCAGTTTATTTCTATAGTGTTAATTCACAACACATGTCATCTTAAGGCGCTTTACAGTTCAACCAGATCATACAGTTCAATTGATTCAAAATGTTCTATCTAAGGAAAACCAGCTGATTGCATCGACTCATTGACTCTTCAGCAATCCCTCACACTAAGCATGCTTGTAGCGACAGTGGAGAGGAAAAACTCCCTTTTAACAGGAAGAAACCTCCATCAGAACCAGGCTCAGTGGGAGCGGCCATCTGCTGAGGCCCACTGGGGTTCAAGGAGACAGAAGCAGACATAGAAAAAGCAGGATTCAATTTAACTTGTTAACGAGCTCCACTGGAGCTATACAGGATTATTCCTATTCTCTATTAATAAGGAGAAATATGCTGCTCTTGCTTTACAAAGCGTCCTCTTATAAAGCAGGAAACTATTTTTCCAGACTGGGTAGGATCCCCGTAAGCCTGTGGAGCGCTATATTATCTCCAGTTTCCTAGCATTTTGCTTCAGAGTGCGCAGCTCTGCATTAAACCAGGGAGCCAGCTTTTCTATTTTTAAGATTATCTTTTAAGGAAATAAGCATTAAGGACAGTCAGAGTCCATCAAACTGGCCAAACACATAACAGATGTGGAGATAAACACTGAAATAAAGTTTATTTTAACAAATGTTGCATGTAGAAAGTCTCTTCTAGTCACAGTGCTGTAAAAACACTGGTACTGCCATGAATGCTATGAGTAGTTAAACTCTGTTGCCATAGCTTTAAATCAGACAGCAATAAACTAACTAATCTAAACTAGTGTTGCGCCGATGCCATTTTTTGGCCCCGATACCGATACCCGATACCTGGCTGTGCAGTATCGGCCAATGACCAATACCATAATAATGTAAAATAATTGCCATCATGGCTTTGTCAAGCTGCTGCCTACCTTTGTGAAGCAGGAAAAAATCGAATACAGAGTGAATCCAGTAGAACTTTTTATTAAAAAGTTCTACTGGATAATAAAAATAAAAAGTTTTATTGCCTACCAGGAATGGGTGACAATAGTAGAATGAACTTATGGCTCTCAAAATGGTATCGGTGTCCTATTTGTTGGTACTCGCCGATACCGATACCACCATTTCAGGGCAGTATCGGGGCCCCGTCCGATACTGGTATCGGTATCGGTGCAACACTAATCTAAACCTAACTAAACCTAAACTAACCAACTGGTTATTCTACCCAGAAACAGCTGCCTATAAATGTTAGTGATAACAGGTAATGAGTCTTGGAAGGATTGTTGACTTACTCTGCTTTGCTGAATTGGCTCGATTTAGATCAATTGTAGCGTTTTCAGCATGAATTGCCTATTAAAGACGCTGATAGCCCAGATGATACTGAGACCCAAAGCGTAAAGTGTTACGAAATTATGATACTTCTCATTCAAAGTCAGTTGATAGAATACATAGGACACCTTACAGGATTTATCACACATCAGCCCTTCAAGATAATAATTGCAAAACTTCATGCAAATGCTAGTCGTTGGCTATTAGCACATCAACAGCAAGCTTAGAAATAGTTTGCAAAAGCAGCACATCAAGAGTTTATGTTGACCGTTTATAACTCACTTATTTTTTTGTCGCAAAAATCAATAGTTGATTTCAGAAATATATCTTCAGCCAAGGTCTGATAACAATCATGTCAAAAATAAAGGTATAGTGAGGAAAGTAAGTATTTTAACAGCATGGTATTTTGCAAGTTCTCCCACTTAGAAATCATGGAGGGGTCTTAAATTGTCATTATAGCTGCATGTCCACTGTGAGAAACATAATCTAATAAAAAAATCCAGAAATCACAATGTAAGATTTTTTAACTACTTATTGTATGATACAGCTGCAAATTAAGTATTTAAACACCTATTTATTAGCTGGAATTCTGACTGTCAAGACCTCTTAGTGTGCCTTCATATTGTCCAGCTCCACTCCATTTATTATACTAAATTAGATGCACCTGTTCAAGGTTGTTAACTACCTGAAGACACCTGTCCACTGCACACAAACAGTAGGAATCCATCTACTAACATGGCCAAGACTAAAAAGCTGTCCAAAGACACTAACAACTAAATTGTACACCTCCACAAGACTGGAAAGGACTATGGGGAAATTGCCAAGCAGCTTGGTGAAAAAAGGTCCACTGTTGGAGCAATCATTAGAAAAAGCTAAACATGACTGTCTATCCCACTCGGACTTGGGTTCCATGCAAGATCTCACCTCATAGGGCCTCAATGATCCTAAGAAAGGTGAGAAATCAGCCCAGAACTACACGAGAGGAGCTGGTCAATGACCTGAAAAGAGCTGGGACCACCGTTTCCATGGTTACTGTTGGTAATACACCAAGACGTCATGGTTTGAATTCTCGCATGGCTTGGAAGGTTCCCCTGCTTAAACAGCACATGTCAAGGCCCGCCTTGGATGATCCAGAGGAGTAATGGGAGAGAGTCCTGTGGTCAGATGAGACCAAAATAGAACTTTTTTGGTCATAATTCCACTAACTGTGATTGGAGGGAGAAGAATGATGAGTACTATCCCAAGAACACTATCCCTACTGTGAAGCATGGGGGTGGTAGAATCATGCTTTGGGCCTGTTATTCTGCACATGGGACAGGGCGACTGCACTGTATTAAGGAGAGGATGACCAGCGCCATGTACTGCTAAATTTTGGGGAACATCCTCCTTCCCTCAGTTACAGCATTGAAGATGGGTGGAGCCTGGGTCTTCCAACATGACAATGACCTGAAGCCCACAGCCAGGATAACCAAGGAGTGGCTCTGGAAGAAGCATATCAAGGTTCTGACAGGGCCTAGCCAGTCTCCAGACCTAAACCCAATAGAGAATCTTTGGAGGGAGCTCAAACTCTGTTTCTCCCAGGAACCTGACTTGTCTAGAGAAGATCTACATGGAGGAGTGGGCCAAAATCCCTCCTGCAGTGTGTGTAAACGTGGTCAAAAAGTACAGGAAAAAATTGACCTCTGTAATTGCAAACAAAGGCTACTGTACCGAAATTTGCAGCTGCATCATACAAATAAATAGTTTCAAAAGATCACACATTGTGATCTCTGGATTTTATTTTATTTTTTTGATTATGTCTCTCACAGTGGACATGCACCTATGATGACAATTCCAGACCCCTCGATGGTTTTTAAGAGGGAGAACTTGCAAAATAGCACTTTTCCTCAATGTTGTTGGGATCTGGAGTTTTGTCCACTTTCTCCACCAGAGGGCGCACGAGACCTCCTGGGGGCATGAGCTGACTGCTACACCTGTCTTCAATCTGCTCATCAGGAGACTCCTTCTTAAGGAGGCGGAGTGCCAGAGTGTTAGCCAGTAATGGTACAGCTAGACCTGAGCCAACCTGCCTGATCTTATCTCTGTGTTTTGTGTGAACCTGCCTGATCCAGTTCTCTCTCTCTGCCTACAGAACCTGACCTGTCTGAAAACCTGAAACCGGGAAAGTGACTCAGTCTGGAATCTGCCTGCCTGCATTCGGTCAGTCTCTGCATGCCGACAAACCTCTGGACCCTCAGGGTTACCCCCCTCCTGCTGATCTGATCCGCCCCAGAGCAGGTATTAACTCAATCACCTGACAAACTACTGGACCCCTGGAAATCCCCTAACCTCTCTGTTCTCCTTAGTGGTGATCCTCCCGTGACCAGTCGGACCAACCCAGTTCCAGTGCACATTTGAAAACTCTGTGAATAAATCTTTGAACTTTTTCTCTGTCTCCTGAGTGTTCTCTGCATGTGGGTTAGACATCTCAACCCCGTCATGACAACTGTATGCTTATTGACGTTATAACATTAAGAACGAGTTGTTTAAATATACATAGGTGGTGATGCATCCAATGGAAGACGCCATGTTTCGTCCCCATCTTTGAGTATGGTAGCCAAAAAGGGACACACTGGTTGACCTCAAGACTCAATTATGCTTGAAAAATGTAGGTTCCTGGCAGATATGAGATGCTCTGATGGATGGATGGATGGATGGATGGATGGATGGATGGATGGATTTATCAATAGAAACTTTAGGCTTTTGAGGATTTTTTTTAAATCTAAAATATTAAAACAAAACAAATCTTTCAGGGTTTACTTTCTCACTGCCCTGCAGCTATGAGAGGGCTCACCTGTGTTCCTCTGGTAGCTGCTGCAGGATGAAACATCACCAGCTCAGTGGTTGCCTGGATACAGATCTTCCATGGAAATTGTGAGGACATGTGGAGACTGTAGCTGTGTCTGTCTCTCTGCTGCTCCACCTGCCCTTCAGTTATTCTTCTCTTTACTAATAATTAAGTTCATTTTAACAGCGGCTGACTTGAGTTTGCTCCAATTTATCTGCTGCCAAACATCTTCAAACATATCCAGAGACTGCATATGTTATTACTGCATCACCCAGGTATGGATCCGACTATTAGCTAGTTTCTAACTCATTAATCTGTTTAAATTAGTGATCAAATTAACTGAAGGTTTGGAGATGTTTTGGTAGAGATTAGGGTTGTCACGATACTAAACTTTTCAACTCGATACCGATACTAAGGAAAATATTCGATACTCGATACCATTTTCGATACCACAAGGATAAAAACAAAGACTCCAAAAGTCTACAGAAATATTTTCCTTAATAAATAAAATACAATAAATAAACACAATAAAGGTTGTATGCTGTGCATAATATTAAGCAAGCTTGATAAAAAACTTATAAAATTCAAATTAAGTGTTCCTTCCTTGGCTATGCTTTGCACACATAACAATGACACTAGCCGAACCGGTTAAGAAACAAAAATAATTCTCAGCAGCTGCTCCTCTTACAAAAAAAACATCTGAAACTGAAAAGAGCACAGAATTATTCAATCAAAGTGTTCTGAAAGTGCATTTTCCTCTATTCACCACTTTAGATGAATGACTGCTTAGGTGCCACTGGTGACGGCACTGTATCGATACTTTTAAAAACGAGTATTGTATCCGGATACAACATTTCAGTATCGATACTTTTTTGAGTTTCGATACTTTTGACAACCCTAGTAGAGATTCAAGCTTTTCTGATTTTATTTTTAAATTCTTTAACAGAGTTCTTCAACCTTCCAGCTATAAATATCTACGTGATTTTATTGGATTTTACGTAACAGGTCTATTGCATAATTATGTAGCAGAAGAAACATTTTGTTTGGTTATAAAACAAATACAAAAAAGGTGATGCATGTGAACTTTAGAGAACCCTTTTCGCCTGCAGGTCCGGTTGAAGGTTTTCAGGGGTTTGTTTCTAACAGCTTCAAACATCAGACCATATTTTAAAAAGAACCACCATCCTACCCTGAGTAGTTCTACCTTCTCTCCCCTAGATTCATATCACCTAGTTCAGATCAGGTGATATCAATCTGGTAACTAAACTCAACATCTAATCAAGAAGCCTTCATCAATGGATAGCAGGTGAAGAGATTCAACGTGGAAACTGACAGCTCAGTTTGTTGACAAACCGCAGAACAAAGGTAATGAGTAAGAAAAGTGGGCGGAGTCCTTCAAAAGATGCCTCTCTTCTAATTGGTTCCTATAACCTTGAGGCGTTGAAACCAACTAAGTAGTCAGAGGAGCAGGTTACTTTGCATTTTGACATGTTCTAGTTTATTCATCCACACTTAAACGGATACAGTTTATTTATAAATAAAGATTTTTAAATCAAAATTCTTCCTAATCTTTCTGGTAAGGAGCAAAGTCACAGGAATGGTTTTTGGCCTTGGATGGCAGTGGGTGTGAGGAGGAAGGTTGGAGATCCTGAAGGCCTGAGGTGGAAAACTGAGGTGGAGGAATGGGCAGGCAGTTCACCGTGCCAGACACAACCAAACCGTGCTAAACTAGTACTAATTCAACAGTTGGGCTCGGCTCCGATAGTTTTTCTGTATTTGCACAGATTTAATATTTTCAAATTTCTCTTTTTTGTATTGAGTTTTATAATTGGCATTCTTTTCAAATAGTGTTTAAGAGATCAGCTTCTCTTTACTGGGGCGGCCTTTCCTCTGAACTGAGCAGCATTTCTATTGGTCTGCATGTACGCCAGAAACAACGTTTTCATCGGACAAGAACAAGAGTTTGTATTGGGCTCTCTGTACACTGGAAAAAAATCAAAATTCATTTTTTCTTAAAATAAGTGCATTTGTTCTTGGATTGAGGAGGTAAAAGAGACATTTTGCCAATAGAATAAGAAAATTTACATTTAAAATAAGAAAATACAATTGCATTCTTATTTCAAGTGCATTTTATCTATTTTATAGGAATAGTACACCCAAAACATGATTAGCCTTCATTTTCTACTCACCCCCATGCTGAACAACACTCTGGAGTACTTTTTTGATATCTCAAATGCATCTGGAGATCTGGGAGGCTTCTTGCTGTCTGCTGACATTCAAATAATGGAGGTCTATGGTGCCTGAGGCAGAAAGGTCCATAAAAGTCCACAAAAAACGTGTCAATATTCCTCCATACTGCTCGTCCAATGTATTCCAAGTGTCCTGAGTGGGTAGCATCCAGAATTTACTCGAAACGAAGTCATTTAGAATGTTTTTAGACCATAAACAGTAGTGTATAGGATTTCCTGAAAGCACGTTCCCGAGTCTACGGAAACCGCGGCAGACCAAACCAGATGAAAGTGCGCATTCAGCTCGGCAAAGAACTCATGCTCTTCCTCAACACTGAAGTCCTCAGACATTTTTCTTTCGTTGTTTCTTTCTTTGCACAGGTAAACAGCACATTTCTTCTTCTACGCTTGCATTATCGGCAGAGCAGACGCTGATTGGCCTATGTTGGTGATAGACGGGCCAAATAAACCAATCAGATCAACGAAGCATATGACGTACTAACAGAGCGACGACGGAAACACAACCACAAGCCAGGCTACTCTTGCCGAAACCAGTCGGGAGAAGAGCAAAAACATCTTTTCCCCTGAGAAAAGCCTCCAGAGCAGTGTTTTGCTCTATTTTCAGTGAAGAAATACTCTGTAATTCCCATAAAACTTGCTCGATAGCCACGCTAACGCTAGTTTCATCGGCTGAAGCCGCCATGTTCTTTAGACTGAAATGTCGCGCTTCTCGTTGCGTCAAACCTCAACCCGCCTCAAAGCCAACGCTGATTGGACGTTCGTTTGGTGAACGGCTCCAAATTTTCTTTAACGGAGAGTCTCCAGACTGATCTGCGAGTGAAACCTTGAAAGCTCGCGAGATCAGGATGGTCTCATGAGGCTAGGCTGATGGACCTACTGTTACTCCACCCGTTGGGAAAACAAGAGAACCATAACACACTGATATTTATATTTATAGATAGTTAGAGAGATGTATTTTAGTGCATTTTATATATATATATATATATATATATATATATATATATATATAGGGCCCAAAAACATTTATGTTTAAAAATACAACAAATAACAGCTGATTCTGATGCCAAAATCAACATATCATCCATCCCTAGAAGTACAATTTCAATACCATCCATCCATCCAGAAAAATATGGATATGCTGCATTTAATTACAGCATAGCATTTTTTTTTCTTGTAAACTTTCTGGTAAACTTGGAGATATATTTTATTGCATGTTGCATATCCCAGTAAATCTGTCTCACCTTTAAATCTGCAGCTCTCCCTTCTTCTCTCTGTGCTCTATTTAAAAAAGATTTATGAACCTCTTTACTAATATAATGATGCCAGAAACTACATTTCAAGATGTGTAGAAGCTCTGCAGCCTGATTCTATCTGTACAATAAGAAAACATGCTAATTTCAGCCTGTAACTGGGAGTCATGGTCCTCTGAGATGCCCAGCTTTTTAACTTGTAAACTTGTTTTCTCCAGCTTCTTGCATTATATTACTAATTTGTATAAACTTACAATCTTTTGCTGTTTTTAGCTGAAAAAGCTTCGTATATCTATCTTTTTGGTGGCTTCTCTAATGTTTTTAACCACCTCGTCTCTGTCAGGAATCCAGTTTGTGTGGTCTGTTTTTGTTTTTCCTTTCCTCCTCCACCAGGTGGTGCTCCGTCCTCATTGGGTCTCCCTGCACACCTGCAGCTCATTGCCTCATTACCTGTGGAGTGTTCTTAAGCTGCTGACTGCCACTACCTCGACGCCAGAGTGTTTGCCAATACAGGGTACTCTAGCCATGCTTAGTTTAGCAGAGTCTAACCTGAATTTTTGTTTGCCAGTTTTAGATACTCCAGCCAAGCTGAGTTTTTGTTGAGTCAAACTGAGTTTTTGTCAAGATGACTCTTAACTTTGTTCTTGTCTTGCCTCTCGGCAGGAAGTCATATTACAAACTGGATTTGTTCGGTCCTTCTCTCTCTGGAAGGTTCAACTGAGCTTCTAACTGAGCTTGGGTTCCAAACAGGAAGTTTGGATCCACTTTCCCCAAGAGGTCGTTTGAGCTTCACACCGAGCAAAGTTTTCATCTGCACCGCAGCCCGTTCAAGTACCGCAGGAAATCTGAGTGCCAGTCAGCTTCTCCGTTCACTCCAAACAGGAAGTTTGGATCCACTTTCCCCTAAAGGTCATTTGAGCTTCACGCCAAGCAAAGGTGGCAGTCAGCTTCTTCGTTCACCTAGGAACAACCGCAGTCTGAGTAAACCCTGTCCGCCCAACACCAAACAAGACAATCACTGGAACCTCCCCTTACAGACTGGATTCCATAAAGGACACCTTTTCCTGGAGAAGTGAGTCTGGAACCCATTCCTCCAATTC